AGTGGAGGAGGAAGACGGCGGTGGCCATAGCCGCCCAGTTGCTGACGTCAACAGTTAGAGTGTAGTGTGTGTGTCCACGTGGACATTCAGGGTAGATCCTATGCATATGTGCGTGTGCGTGAGTTGCCTGAGAGTGTCTGATGGTGGAGACAGTGTTCGAGGTGGAATTCAGACTAGTGCTCAGTGGCCATAGCTGCTAGATGAGACGAGTTGACTTAAGCTGAGTTCCTGGCCTAAGGACATATTTCTGAGTTTTTTTCTGTGTGGGTGCAGTCCGCCATCGCAAGTTCGTTGCTGATTCTGAGTTGACGAAGTTGTGTTGCCATCGGCACCTACATGTATGCATGTTGCAAGTGAAATTAAGACAAGTCTGACTCCATACATCTTCGTTTGAGATACTATGGACTCCCTTTCTTTCTTTTTTTTTTTCCTTTTTTTTTCTTTTTTCTTTTGAATACGAAGTACTGTCGAGCATTATTCCACAAAGAGATTCTATTCTCTTTATTTTTATTTTTTTTGTTTGAATCAAACAAGCTGAAAAAGAACTTAGCATTAGCAACTGAAAAAGAGCGTACTTTTCGAAAACATGCTACACGGAAACGGTTCTCTTCAGTCTATTGCCTGTTGTCTCTCTTCTTTCTCTCTCTCTTTTAGCTTTCTTGATTCTTTGACCCCACTCTTAATTCAGATTATTTCCTTTTTCAGCTCTCCCAATCTGACCGCAATTACGGCCCCTCCTGGATGAATCTTCCTGCAGTTACGTCCAGAAATCAGTCCAAACAGTCCCACCGTATCTTTTCCTCTGAGAGCACTTGCCAACATGGGAAGGTGGCGAGGGGATCCCGAGGGAAGGGGGGGCGGGGGGGGAGGGGCAGGCGGGGGGAAGATAACCTTTCACGTATGAGCCGCGTGGCATCCACTTCGAAGAAGCAAGATCACACTTCTTGGTTCTACATCGGTGGGCCGCCTATACTGCCCTTCGTGTTTCTACATCGTTGGGTAGACCATAGGCGAGCCGATCTCCACGGCGGGGACATCAGCGCTACAATTCTCTCCTCCCCCCGCCTCCTTCCTCTCTCATAAGCGCTACAGCTCTCCAAATCAACAGTATCTTACTTGTGCTCCCGTTTCTTACCTCCCCTCTTCCTCCTCCTCCTCCTTTTCCTCCTGCTCCTCTCCTCCTGCTGCTCCCCTCTTCCTTCTCCTTTTCCTCCTGCTCCTCTC